TCTACTGTACGATTAGATTAGATGGGGCGGCAGCGCACGGCACAGCTCGGGCTCCGCTGACACAGCCGCTCTGACTCACCGGCCCCCAGGGCCGCGTCGGCATGCTGTGCACGGACCAGCTGCGCACGGACCAACGCGCACAGCCTGCCCTAATCTCCCCATGTATATAAACCGGCCTCTGCTGCCCTAGGGACCTCAGTTTCGACCTCTTGTCCCTAGGTCAGTAAGCCCTCACTTGTATCCTTACTTACCCTTTACTAACTAATACATTTCTTGTCCCTAGCCTTAGGTTTGAGCCTCGCTCACCATCGCTTCGGTGAGAACCAGTCGGACGCCCCTCGCTTCTAGATATCTCCCTGTCGCTTGACCTCAAGTCGCGACACATAGCCCGTCACTGCAAACTAATTGGCTGTCAACACCTGTCAATCTCGTGTCATCTCGAACCAGAGACAGCATCGATGAAACTCTGCGCACTCCCGATTGCCTCTTCCGGGCAGTGTACCAGGTTCCTGGCAAGGCGCAAGTGCACAAATAGGTGCGAAACTCGAACCGCGCATTCTCCGAGCATCCTGCGCTCATGCGTGTCCATGCGCGGGCTTTGGCTGAACACGCGAGCGCGCTGGTCGGCTTTTGACTGGGTGTGAACTTCGAAGCAAACCGTAGTCTGGTCACAGCAAGTGAGTACACACCTGAGAATACATCGACACTATTGTGGCAAGTAAACTGGCCAGAGCCCGGAATCGGGGCCATCTCCGAGCCATGTTCGACATGGTGCTGCTGGTACTAGTAGTTCCCAAAGACAGAGAAGACAGACTTTAGCGTGAACAGTGGATGGTCAACGACAAGACTTGCATGAAGGTGGCCATGGTAAGTGGTGAGCTCTGCTCCGATTCACAAGTCATTTCAACCCGCAAGTTGCCACACATTTACGGATCATTTCCGAGAATCTTCCTGATGGTTGCAAGGATTCCGAATTGGTCTGATTCCAATTCCGGCAATTGCAGTTCCCACGCTCACATCCCATCGCTCGGCAAATGTCAATATAGCACGCGATTTCAAATTCCTCCCGACTGCACACTTTGTTCCATCTTTTCTTGTTCTGGTTCATCATCGCTTTTTGTGCAGATCGGTAGCAAGCATGTAGCTGAGTTGCAGAGGGCTCTCGACGCATGATTGCCAGTGATTGCGAGATTGATAAATCGGACGACAGAATTGAGAGGTCAAATGCAGGATGCGGCACTACCCCGCGTTGCGAGCTCGACGCGGGTCGATTGCGAGCGTGCGACCGGCTACGCATCACATAGTGGGCCGCCGAGGCTACATATTCTTAATAATCGGGCCGTGAACGCGTTCGCGTATGTTCGCGTCGCTCGTGCCAGTGATGCGGCCATGGTGTGTCATCAATCGTGAGTATCAGCGCCGCATTGCCGCATTGTGGACATTGCACGGCTGTTATTCTATTCCACGTCCCGTGGATCGCAAGTGCCCGCGTAGCATAGGAACAAAATATATTTGCAGTACAGAATGTCCTATGCACCTGTAAGTGTCATTTATCCATGTCCGAATGCTGCGGGCTCTCGATCCTTGCCGTCAGTGTTGCATGGAACATCTCGGTGACAGAAAGGCAAGACGCCGCACCTGGTGAATGGCAACGTTACGTTGCGATCGCACCGGGAGAATGGGACCACGGTGACCGCGCGTCGCGACGTGCTTTGGTCCCGATGGGCTTCCCATGGATCAGGAACATGGCCGCGCATTCTGGATCGTGCGGAGAGCGCATCCGCGCGAGAGTGTGGGTACATAGCACAGCGCGGCATGGCGTACGACTGCCGTGGTCATCGCCATCTCCTGGCGTCGTTGCCAGGATGCGCGAATACCCGCGGAACACGGGCACTCTTGACGCGTCCCGTCAGCGTGCGACAGTGTACGTACACACGGGCAGGGCAGATCCAGAGACGGGCCCGGACGCTGGGCCGCTGACGCCATGCGAAAGGCCGCGGCGGATGGATACCGGAATGTCGCTGACGCGTCGCCACCAACAGACCCCGCGCCCTGCGCTGCGCGTCACCGCTCGCAATACAGCAGCAGCAGCGCACGTCAGTCTGACCGCTGTGCGCGCGTGGACCCGCCATCGACAGCCACGACGACCGGCCTGCGGGACGCGCGCGGGCTCGACCGTGCAGCGCGCACACGGTGTGTCGGTTCTGCCGCGCGGGCACACGGCCGCGCCGTAGCGAGCGAGCGTGGATACACCAGAGGACGCAGACGGATGTCGCAGCATTTCAGCGCCCCGCGTTCTCGCGTGCTGGTTGTTCTGGCGAGCAGATACGCGAGCGTGCGAGCGCGCGGGCGCCCGTGCCACCGGTGCGGATACGGACACGGCGCGTCCCTGCACGCTACTAGCGTGCGAGCGTGCGACGGCGGACCAGGCGGACGGACGTGGACGTGGGACGGGCACACCAGGACGAGGTATACGAGGTGAGCGGGGACAGGGAGGGGCGGCAACCGTGCGTCCTGGCGTTATCTTTGCTATTGCCTACGCTTCCGTTCCCTACCTGCTGCATCTAATTCCGCATTCCGCATTCCCCGACGGTGCGTTTGCGGGGCCTGTGGTGGGTGGTCGAATTTCCGCCGGGGCGCGTGCATGCCCATGCCGATGCTTAATGTTCAACTGTCGGGTCGTCGCGGCGTCGTGGTTGTTGGACTGTTGTCCGTGGTATGTCGTCCACATTGTCTTCCGCTGTATTATCAGTTGCTGACGCGCCATTGTCCGTGGCTCGTTAGCTATTGGCCGTAACATTGTAGTAGCAGGACGCACGTCGTTGGCCTGCCCACGGACGCAGCGCGCCACTCGGTACTGCATTAACAGCCGCCGCCGCCGGGCTGTGTCTGTCATGGGTAAGTCGCGCGCGTGTTCTGCGCTTTCGTGCCGTGCTGATGCATCGCGCTGTATGGTCGCCATTTGTATGCGCTGGCCGTCTGCTCTCGTACGGTATATCTTGTAATGTATTTTGCTCACTTGTGCCGCGGCGTCGTGATGCAGCGCGCCGGTCAAAGTCGAAAGTTGCGGGGAGTCGATACGCTTGTGGTCAGAAGCGGCTGCATGAGCACCGCGTGAGATGCGTGCGCCCGCGTGAGTGCGCGAAGGTGCACGGCGCGAGAGCGCGCGATGGGAGCGTCGAGATTGGTGGCAGCGGCCTCCCTTAGAACAGAGCGCGGGTGTGTGTGAGACGTGCGGGAGAGTGCGGGGATGCCACGAACGCGGTCGCGCGTTGTAATACCGGCATGCCTGCGTACAAATTTGATGCGTGAACGCGCGCGGCATGACAAGGATCGCTATGGGCAGCGTACACCGAGCGCCGTGGCGCGCGCGAGCTGGTGCCTTGGCGTGGATTCAGTGTGCGCGCTGTTGTACACAGGGATGGGCCTGCACATCGTGCGGAAATGTAAACGACAGGGAGCGGGCTGCGGCTACTGAATGATATTGACCACATCAAGCGCGTCGCTTTGGACGGATGGCATGACGCGCGGGCAATCATGTATATGTTCGCATAAGGCTCGCGCGAGTACATGGGCTGCTACGGACATACAACCGAGGACGCTACATTCGCGCAAGAGGGACTGCAAGAACACAGTAGGAATATCGAGGTAAGGCTCACCTGATGCATGTGCGCGCGCTATGCGGTTTGTACATTAATCTTGAGGGGGGGCGCAATATTCACGAGAGCTGATGCGCAAGGCGAGCGGGCGGGAAGCGCGATTGCGCGGAACCGGGTGCAAAGAGCGAGGGAATAGCCACAGAAGACGGGCTGCGAGCAACAGATGCGGGCAGAAGAGCGCAAAGCGAGAGCGACAGAGCAGAGCAAGGGCGGGCGAGTGCGTCGACCGGGCGCCCGCGATCGACGTGCCGTCCTTCCGCCGACGCGTAGGACGGTGTACAGTCCGCTGCTCACCGAGGATGCGCTCCTCCTCCTCCGCGCGCTCCTCTTCCTCCATGCGCTTCTTCGCGCTCTCGTGGTCAGTGAGATTCTCGAGCGCGCGGTGCAGCCCGAGGTTGAGCGCCATGCGCATCGCGTGCCCGCTAGGCAGCCAGCCATTCGTGCCCCACGCCGCGAGCAGGAACATGCCCTGCACCGCCTCCTTGCGCACGACGGGCCCAAAGAGCGATGAGCGCGCAACGCCCTGTGCCTCCTCGAGGCACTTGTAAAACATAGGGCTCAGTGGGCCCGTGCCGCTGCGGGTCTTGCGGGCTGTTCGGACGTACCACGAGCGGGGTTCGCATGCACTCCGCAGGGTGTCTCAACATGCCCTCACGCTCGATGCCATTCCGGGTGCGCCGCGCGATACAGCTCTTGTGCGGATCAATTGCGACGCTGCTGGCGGCATCTGCACGCCGCCGCCCGTCAGTGGTGCCCCGCAGCATCGCGCGATACAATACTCAGTATTCTCGCAGTGAATCATTCTCCGCCCTTGCCCTACTGCCGAGTCGCGCAATCGCGAATGGTCCAGTGCCCGCTCAGTTGCGCGGGCGGAGGGGCAACGCGCGCGCGACCATAAGGCACGCGAACGCGCCGTTCGAACGCGGGACGCGGAGCTGCCCCGCGTTGCGAGCTCGACGCGGGTCGATTGCGAGCGCGCGACCGGCTACGCATGACATAGCGGGCCGCCAAGGATACATGTTCTTGATAATCGGGCCGAGGACGTGTTCGCGTTCGCGTCGCGCGTGCCAGGGGCCGGTGATGCGGTCGCGGCGTGTCGTCAATCGTGAGTATCAGCGCCGCATCACCGCACTGCGGCCGTTACAAGGCTTTCGTTTTATTCCACGTCCCGTGGATCGCGAATGCCCGCGCAGCATTAGCAGGACACAGTAGGAACCAAATATATTTGCAGATCGAAATGTCCTGAGTGTCAATTATCCATGTTGGGACGCTGCGAGCTCTCGATCCTTGCCGTCAGCATTCTGCGGAACATCTCGGCGACGGCAAGACAGGACGCCGCACCTGGTAAACGGTACCGTTACGCCGCGATTGCAGCGGAAAGACAGGACCATGGTGACCGCGCGTCGCGACGCGCCCCTGTGCACTTTAGCCGACCGGTCTCTGGTCCTGATGGGCTTTCCGTGGATCGGGTCGTGCGAAGAACGCACCCGCGCGAGGGTGCTGGTATGTAGCATGGCGTACGACTGCTGTGGTCGTCGCCATTTCCTGGCCTTGTTGCCAGGATGCACAGGTACGCGAGGGGCGCGGGCGTCCCGTTAGCGTGCGACGGCGTACGTACGGGTGGGTTTCAGCAAGCACGGGCTGGGACGCGACGCCGTGCGAAAGGGCGTGACATTACGATGTCAGCGCGGGGAATGGATGGCTGAATGTTGCTGATGCGTCGCTACCAACGGGCCCCGGGCCCCGCGGTGCATTGCGCGTCGAGATGGGCTGCGCGCGACTGCTCGCAACAAAGCAGCAGCAGCGCGCCGGTTTGGCCGCGGCGCGCGCCCGCCGTCGACAGCCACGACGGTCAGCCTGCAGGACGCACGCGGGCTCGACCGTGCGGTGCGCGCATGGCGCGTCGGGCACACGGCCGCGCCGTAGCGAGCGAGCGTGGATGGACGAGAAGACGCGGACGGACGCCGCAGCGTTTCGGCGCCCCGCGTCCTCGCGTTCTCGCGTTCTAGTTGTCCTGACGAGCAGATACGCGAGCGCGCGGGCGCCCGTGCCACCGGTGCGGATACGGTCGCGACGCGTCACTACTGGCGTGCGTGGGAAGTGCACGGCAGAGCGCGATATAAAGGTCGAGCGGGGACAGGGAGGGACGGCAGTCAGCAGCTGTTGTGCGTCGTGGTGTGGTCTTTGCTATTGCCCGCGCTTTCGCGGTGTCGCCGCTGTTGGTGCGTTGTCCATGGTATGTCGTCCGCGCTGTCCCGCGCTGTATGATCAGTCACTGACGCGCCGTCGTCCGCGCCTCGTTAGCTGCCAACCTTCACGCTGTGGTAGCGGGACACACGTCGTTGGCCTGCCCGCGGACGCAGCGCGCCACCCGGTATTGGATGACCCGCCGCCGCCGCCGCTACCGCAACCGCCGCCGCCGCCGGGGCTAGGTCTGTCATGGGTAAGTTGCGCGCGCGTTTTGCGCTCTCGTGCTGTGCTGATGCGTCGCGCTGTGTGGTCGCCATTTGTACGCGCTGGCCGTCTGCTGTTATACAATATATTTCGCTTTGTATTTTGCTGACCTGTGCCGTGGCGGCCTGATGCAGCGCAGCGGCAGTGCGCCGGTCGAAGTCGAACATTGCGGGGAGTCGATGCCCGCGCGCTAAGAAGTGACTGGATGAGAGACGCGTGAGGTGCTTGTGCCCGAGTGAGCGTGCAAAGGTGTACCGCGCGAGAGCGCGCCATGAGAGCGTCGAGACTGGCGGGCAGCGGCCTCCCCTAGAACAGAGCGCGGGTGCGTGAGAGACATGCGAGAGGGCGCGGGGACGTCACGAACGCGGTCGCGCATTGTGTGCCTGCGTACCAATTTGACGCGTCAACGCGCGCGGCATGACGGGGATCGCTACAGGCAGCGCAGACTGAGTGCGGTGGCGCGCGCGGGTCGGGTGCCTCGGCGTGAGTTCAGCGCGGACGCTGTGGTGCACATGGATGGGCTCACACATCACGCGGCAACGGAAACGCCAGGCAGTGCGCTGCGGATAGTCAAAGACAGTGACCGCGTGGAACGCGTCTGTCCGGATAGAGCGCATGACGCGCGCGGACGATCATGTATATATTTGCATAAGGCTCGCGCGAGTACATGGGCTGCTATGGACGTACGGCCGAGAACGCTGCTTTCGCGCGAGAGGGACTGCAATAATACGGTAAGAATATCGACACAAAGCTCACCTTGTGCGTGCGCGCATCGCCCCGCGTGTTCATGACCCTCGACGGGGGCGCAACATTCACGAGCGCCGAGGCGCAAGACGAGCAGGCGGGAGGCGCGGTTGCGTCGAACCGGGTGCACAGAGGGAGGGTGCATGGTCCGCTGCTCACCGAGGATGCGCTCCTCCTCCGTGCGCTTCTTCGCGCTCTCGTGGTCAGCGAGCTTCTCGAGAGCGCGATGCAGCCCAAGGTCGAGCGCCATGCGCATCGCGTGCCCGCTGGGCAGCCACCCGTTCGTGCTCCACGCCGCGAGCAGCAGCATGCCCTGCACCGCCTCTTTACGCACGACAGGCCCGAACAGCGACGACCGCGCGATGCCCTGCGCCTCCTCGAGGCACTTGTAGAACGTGGGGCTCAGCGGGCCCGTCCCGCTGCGGATCTTGCTCGCGACGGCCAGGATCGAGTCGAACGTCCACGGCGTGCGCTCCATGAGCGCCTCATATGTGTCGTAGCTGGGGTCGAAACAGGGTATGAAGAAGTGGCAGCCGGAGAAGAAGCTGCGCGATGTGAGGTGCGTGGCCCGTGAGTACCACCGTCATGGTGCATTTCATACACGGATACGCACATAGTATAGAGTTCGCGGGCTTCTGCGTCAGAGACGAGGTTCTGGCCAGGCTTCATTTAGGACAGGTCGTCGTACCGAATGTCAGCGCTGACCTTTTCGACAACATGGGGAAACGCGTTGCGAGGCGTAGGTTCTGCCTTCTTGCGCTTCTTGACCCTTGAAATCACGCCAGATTAACGAACGGCCAACACTGTTAGAGCTGTGTTACCTTGGTGGTGACGCAGATGGTGCGACAGCCGCCGCCTCCGCGGCAGCGTTTGCGAGGCCCTGCAATGCCTCGATGGGCGCATTCAAGGTGGACCTGGGGAGCGTGTCCTCGGACTCGTCCTCGGAAGAAGGCGCCGTGCTGGGGACGATGCCGTACGTCGCGTACTTGTGGGGCTGCGCACACGCGGGGTCAGCAGCTGCGCGGCAATCGGGCACGAGGAGACAGACGCACGGGTGGCGCGAAGCCGGGCAGGGGCGGGAAGGACCTGGGCACAGGCCGCGACGGGCCGTCCACGGGGCCGGGGGACCCATAGACGTCCACACTGTTGCGCAGCGGCGGAGGCATGGGGGGCGGTGCGCCGTTCGCGTAGATGGAGTGCTGGACGATGGCGGCGGTCTGCTGGCTCTGGGCGTGGATAGCGGATAGGATCCTGTCGAGCGAGGACTGCATGCCGATCATCTGGCTCTGCATGACCTGCGTCGTGTGCATCGTTAGCCCTAGCGCACTGCGCGAGAAGGAGACTCACGAGGTACTGGCCCTCCAAGCGGGAGAGACGTCTGCGAGGAGACGGGGGCGGGGTCAAGGGGGGGAGCGACGGGCGAGCAGGAGAGAGGCGGACGCACTCGACGCTTGCGCCAGACATGAGCTGGACATTTTTCTTCTCTGGTTTCTCAAAGACGCAGGGCGTACCGCTTAGCTGACACCGACGACAAGGAGCCTAGGCAGCGGCCGGGCCGGGCGGGAGCGCGGGCCACGGGCGTCGTGAGGGGCAGGGCGCGGGAGAGACAGCGCGGGACGCACCTCGCCTTCGCACCTGTTCTTGCCCTTACGGCAGGCGGTGCACGCGCGCGCACCGCGCTTCGGGATGTGCGTTGCTGACGACGCGGACGGCGCGGACAGGCCCGGCGGCGCGTTGTCGGGCGACATGGCCATGGCGTCGGCGCGAGCGCTGCCGCCGACGGGGAACGACGTGCGGCGGCGCTTTGCCGTCGGGTGGTCGTACTCGGCGGACGTGGAGGGCGAGAGCGACATCATCGATGGCGGGCTGGCGGGCGGGCGGGCGGGCGGGGCGACTCGGCTGCGTCCCCCGGCCCCTCGAGCTTATACCATCCCCTCCGCCAGCTGCCGTGGGAACACCGGCCACCCTGCGCATGTGACCGTGCCAGGGTCTCGCCCCGTCAGCTGTCCCGTGGAATAAGCTTTGCTCTAAACTCTCCGCGCTGCGCAATGCGCATCACAGCGCATATAACCTGCTCCTCGACACATCCCCCAGCGCCCTCTGATAACCCCCGCTGCTTCACGCGATGCTCGCGTAATGATCGCCTCGCTCTACAAGACTCCTCTTCTATTACACCGTCGTCCCTGGACGCTGCTGCTTCCGTCCCCGCCCGCTGGCTCTCACAGTTCTGTGCACGCCGCTTCTGCCCCCTGCGGCATATAGGCAGCCCAGCGGCGCACACTTCATACACGGAGAGCCGTCGCTCTCCTCACTCCTGCGTCTCCGTTCTCTCCCTTCGCGAAGCGGTGAGAGATCCCTCGGGCCCTTTCGCTACGGTAAGCTCGACCCCGTCGTGAGACTCGACCTCACATTTACGCTCGTCTTTGTCTCACGTGTCGTACTCATCCGAACGAGCGGGGGCATTCAAGACAGCGGATCGCCGCTACGTCTCAACACGCGTGTGATCGCTGTGCCTGGGCTCGCGCAGGCCATCACGCAACATTCATAGCGTCTGGCGGCGCTAATCTCTCGCTGCAGTCTCCACTAGAGCTGAGCTGGACGTCACCTTTCTGGTTTATCCCCGTGAAAAACCGCAAACCCTCCATCAACCCGTGCTCACAAGCTCATTGTTCTTTGCTCCGACAACTTCCACCATCATGCTGGAACCCCCATGCTGGTTCTTCCAGCTTCCCAGCTTGTCTCATTGTTCCACTTCTTTCGATCTTCCTGCGGGCTGTGGCTAGAACACCGGCCATCTGTTACGGCACCTGCGGAGCTGTGGACCGGAGGCGCAGGGCCCAGGCGCAAACATTGTACGACCGTGTTTGAATATGATCTTCATTTGCAATCATTCAGAAATTTGTGAGATGCCACGCGGAGTCAAGGCTTTATCGCTGTGGGGTGCGTACTGCAGGCATGACCAGGCGTCTGAACAATTGAGCTCGTCTGCAAGTGTCACACGGCCATCGTCGCGTTTGCGCTCCTGCCTGCGCCGAACCATGACCCTAGCGCGTTCGGCGCTCTGCACTATTTAGGGCCCCACGCGCCTCTGACTTTCGTCCAATGACGATCGGACCATCTTATCATGTCACTTTGCAATATGCAGCGTCGACACCGTGTGCCGGCGATGGCTGCGGAAGGATACGAGACATGCATTCAGGTACGATTATGCAGGCGGACCCGCGACTGCGCAACCGGCGGGAACGAGGAAGGTTGCGCCAGGCACAAGAAGCGCAGGCCGCACGATAAGAGGCGTGATCGAGAGAAGATCGGCCCCGCGGGGGAAAACACGACGTCACTGGGGAACAAAGTTTCCCTCGACCGACGACGCGGTGCTTTCGGACAGCGTAAACAAACCCTATGCATCTTGTCCACTTGCAGTTTATTATCACGAAGATGTTCTTCTCGCTGAAGGGGTATCGATCTGCTAAAGCGATTGTTCCAATTCTCGAAATTTAGCTCATGGTATGTGCGTAATCGGTGCGAATTGTACTCTCGCTGCGAATGTATACCGTGAAGCATCCATATCGAGAATTGTCCGCAGCCAGTACCTGCTGGTCTTGACTACAATGTGAGGTGAGAGCCTTGAGGATCTTCGTCTGATATTCACTTTCGGACCAGTCCCACTGACTATTCGAGTTCAGGCCGTTGTCAGATTCGTCGACATGGAGCAAAGGCGCATAGAGTGGATGCTCCGGCCCCCAAGACGGACGCACACAGCATGTCTCGCGTCTACGATACGTCGTCGGAGATCTACTCGCTGTATTCGCACCCAATGACCAGGGCGAGCTCAATAACCCAGGATTCGGAGCCGCTCACAACGCCTCCGGACGAGACATTCCTGGGCCACAGATACAAGGCAGGGGCTGCAGATGGGAAGGCCGCCGCCTCGCACGACGCCGTGCACATCCGTTCCGCTACGCCTGAAACACTGCGATACCTGGCTCCCGAGCGACGGCTGGACGCTCTGCACGAGACGCCAGAGCACGAGGAGTCGCCGTACGGGCCGTACTTCTCCTTGCCGCGCGATCCTACAAGCTCCGGCCCCAGCCCTGCAGGGCTCGCGCGCAAAAGGACGACCAAGGAGCTGATCGGCCGGTTCGAGTCGATGAGCGAGCGGTCGGAAGCGCGGACGGCGGTGTCCAGCGTGAGCACCAAGGTCGAGCAGCGGAGGGCGAGGCCGGGCGCGTACCCGGCGATCGAGCAGAAGAAGGGCCGCTCGCCCATCAGACAGTCGATCCGCAACATCCTGTCTGTGTTCAAGAAGAACAAGAGCGTGTGGAAGGAACAGGGCGGGGAGTCTGGCATCGCGGAGGAGGCTGGGCGGCCACAGGTAGAACGCCAGCCCGCGTACGGCACGCCCACGCACACGGTGCCGCAGTTGAGCGCGTTAAAGGAGTCGAAAGACCTTAGCCAGTGTACGACGCCGCTCGAGCCCGGACACGCCCGCCGCTCTGGGCCTCTGCTCCACCTCTCCCACGACATATCGCCCTCCGTGCACCCGGTCTGGGCGAACTGCACGGCGACGCTGCACTCGACGCACCTCCTGCTGACATGGCACACGCGCCGCGGGAACCCGTCGACGGATATCATCTCGTTCAACGCGTGCTCGGACGTGCGCTCGATGTCGCTATCGGAGCTGGACGCGAATGAGCGTGCGATGCTGCCTGTGGACGCACGCGAGGCGAAGGTGTTCGAGCTCCTTTTTGAGGGGCGGCCGCGGGAGAAATTCGCGGCGAAGAACGTGGGCGAGAGGGCGACATGGGTCAGTGCAATCTGGTGGGTGTTTCATGATTAATTCGGCTCGTCCTGCTCTCTTTCTGAGATGCCGATTCGCCTTGGTCAGGGATGCCATTCTGCTGGCACAGGAGCAGAGGACGGAAGCCGCGAGTATCAGGACATCGGAGATTCTTCAGAGTTCCACGGTGACAGAAAGGAACAGCACAGCGCAAGGCCGCCCCGCCCTTGATGCGTCTCGTAATAGCAGCCAACTGACCGTCCAGACTGTCGATAGCTCAGCCTCTCCGCGCGTGTCCAACCTCCGTGTGGATCGTGCGCTTCCGGAGATCCCCAAGACGCTTGGGCCACAGTCATCAGCTCCTCGCCTGTCACTGCAAATTCCTGGATCTGCTATACGGTCCACCCCTAGCCCCACCTCTGCTCTCTCACCTTTACCCAGGCCGCCGACGACCCCGACAAGACAAACGCCGACTACGCCAACACGCTCGCAGAGCCCTTCGATCCTCAACCTCGACAAGAAGTCGATGGTGAGGCAACGCCTTGCGCAGCTCGAGAGCACAAATTCGCCCACCTCGCCCACACGCGCGTCCATGCGGGAGGCAGGATCGCCCAGCCCTCTGCGCGCGAACAGTGACCGCGCTCCTCGGATGGGAAGCGAGATGCGTCGGGACGGCTCGTCCTCCAGTGCGGGCGCGTCGTCGATTCTGGACTCCTACGGGGCGCCGAGCATGGCTTCTCCGCTGTCTGCGTACTCCGGCCGGCTGACGTCCAATCCTCCGACGAGTAGTACGCCAACCCGAGACGTTGCGCCGTGGAGCGGGAGCGGCTCGGAGAATTCGTCTGCGCTCCTGAAGCCGCCTGCCCAGGACGTCGTCGTCATCTCTCCGGCCTCGAAGTACTCCACGGATGACCAACCCGAAACGTCGGCGCTCTCTGCCAACGACGACACTATGCGAGAGGATATGGATATTCCCAATCAAGAGGTCCCGCATGTCACTACCCGAAGGCCGATCATACGGCTAGACACAGATGCCTCTTCTTTAGGGCCTCCGATGATCTGGCAGCCGCCTCCAGCTGTCGAACATGGACCCCCGCCCAATAGGGTGAATTGCCACGTTGACAAGCCGGTGCTTCGAGTAGACACAGGCACTGGTGCATGGAAGCCCACTCCGCATCACGAACAGAAGGGGGCGCTCGAGACCGGTGATCTGCGGCAGGTGCTGGAGGCCATTGGCGGTTCTGTCAAGAAGCTGGAGGGACGTGCTGACATGGATACCGGAGCCATGACGGACATCCGATCGAAGGTCAACGCTATCCTCACAGAGATACGCAGTCAGCCGGGCCCGTCAGATGGGCCGGCGTCGGTAGACATATCCGCGGTGCTGCAGAAACTCGAGGATCTGCGGTCAGAGTTGAGGATCCCTGAGCAGTCGACAGTCTCGCGCTCGCCAATTGGGCCTGTTCATTCGGCTGTTTTCGACGCGATACCTGTGCTGCACGAGAAGTTAGACATACTGGTCGCGCTTTATGAAGGGAAGCAGAGCGTTGAGACAACTGCCGACAACGACCAAGGGGCCGGGAGTCAGGGCCAACATGTGAGTGTTCTACGAAAATCGGGGATTGAAACGTCTCGCTGAACAGAGTATAGATCGAAGAAGTCCTGACCTTGTTGCGAAGCGGACAGACGCAATGGGCCGCACAGGCGGAGCAACAGACGGACAGCATCCGATATCTAAATGAACTAAACACCGTGAGCACGAGTTTCCTATCTTCCGTGTGGCGTTAACCATTGTTGCAGTGGCTCGAGGCGTTCGTCAACCATGGCGTCTCTCAGATCGAGAGCGTAACGGCGGGCGTGCAGCAACTATGCAAGGATCTCGGCCCTGTACCCGAAATGCAGGAGCAGAACGAAGAAGGGGATAGTCAGCGAGGGAGCAGCCTTCTGACACACATCCGAAAGCTGCTCGTGGAAATTAAGGGCAGGGAGGACAACTCCGTCGTGCTACATGCTTCTGTAAACGGCCTCATAGCCGCAGTGCAGGAGGATTTAAAACAGAATGCGGAGGCTCGTAATACTCTTAGTAAGTGCATTGTGTCTCACGAAAACCAGAGACTCACGGATCATAATTATAGCGACCGAGTCATTGGTCGGCCTGATAGATCGACAGAGGCAAGACCATGAACGAATGCTCCGAGCCCTCGGCACCGGTATGGCTCTATGAAATGACAGTCTTTCTCGGTTTTGACCCCTTTATAACAGAGCTTTCCAATGAAATACGTGGAGAACGCCTGCGATTTGTTGAGGCCATGAAGGAAGCAACTGCGATTAATGTTCAAAGTAAATCTCGAAGAAACCTTAGCTTGGATAACATCGCTGATGACGGTTTAAACAGTTCATGTGGAAGAGTTCAAGAAAGAGCTCACTCGGGAGGTGCTCCTGATGACTCAGGAGGTCGGGCGTCTTCAACGAGAGAGGCAAGGACTCGAGCAACAAATTGCTGATCTTTTCGCCTTCTACGCCAAACAGAAACAATCCGGCGGTGTAAGTTGACATGACTGTATCTGACCTATAATCTGACTATGCTGTAGCTCTTTCCTACTACCAAGCAAAACATGCGGCAAGGTCACCCCCTACCGCGCCCTCAACCGTCCTCCCAAGTTCCTGGTGGATATCCCGTGGCTGCACGACCAGCCACTGGTGGCCGCCGACCTCTTCCTAGTCCTGTTGTCACGTCCAGACCTGCATCATCATTTGTATAATACAATGGAACTATATGATACTTTAAACCTGTATGCTGTGTACTACACATAACACATTGATAGTTGTGTTACATGCAAGACTTCACTGGCTCCGGACTCGGGGTATGAGGTCATGTGACCGTGCACCGCGCTCCGGCAGCGCCCGGCGCCCAGCTCACCGTTGAGCTCATCGGTGCGAACAGTCTGCACAATCCTCATCATGTCTGCCCTTCGTCTCGTCTCTTCTGCCGCCCGGAGGGCACCAAAGGCCTTCGCCTCTGGTCGACGCGGCTACGCTGAGGCTGCTGACAAGATCAAGCTCTCCCTGGTCCTCCCTCACCAGGTGCGCTACGGCTCGCCTTTTAATGCAATATTTGGGGTTATAATGTTGTCACGTCTAGGCCATCTTCACCTCGACCGAGGTGGTTCAAGTCAACATCTCCGCGGCAACTGGCGACATGGGTATCCTCGCCAACCATGTCCCGTCAATCGAGCCTTTGCGTGCTGGTGTCGTTGAGGTGATTGAGCCTGGCAATGCGTCGAAAAAGTGGTTTGGTATGAAGACAGTCCAATTTCTACTCGTTCATTATCTTATCTCTTCGGTAGTTTCTGGTGGCTTTGCTACCGTACATCCCAACAACAAATTGACCATCAACGCGGTGGAGGCAGCACCCCTCGAGGACTTCTCGCCTGAGGTAGGGTTTCTGCAGTCTAGTGATAAGACACCCACGTGAATAAAATGTGTCACTTGCAGGCCGTTCGCGCGAATCTGCAGGAGGCTCTCAGGGTTGCAAGTGGAAATGGCTCAGAAGAGGACAAGACGGAGGCTCGCATAGAAGCGGATGTGTACGAATCGCTGCAGCATGCGCTTGGCTCGAAGTAATGTCGCAACCAATCTGCTGTGATGTCCATTATGTAGATTTTGCATCCGTTGTCCTAACCTTCGGCTGCATATACCTGACGTGGCCTTACGCAAGCTGATTTGCCTCGAGAGGGCTGCTGTGCCAAACCGCCGCCTTATGTCCGTCAACATTTGGGCGTTACTATGCGTTCCGATATGGCTATCATGCTGCCGCTTCCGTCCGACTGCACCATGCGTGACTGTCCAGTGCAAGCCTCCGTTGATTAAGTTCACGCGATCTCAAGAGCGCAAACAAGTGCACCACAAAGCACATGTGGCCTGCACCCAGCGCCTGCATCGTTTGACACCTCTTGTTACCTTCCCGAGGATGAATCGTCCAGAGGCATGGAATGACACGAGCTTGCTCGACGACGAGCCATTCTGTACCGAATTCTATGTGCGCTCGACGGCGGACGCCGAAACTCTCTCGCGACGTAGTACGCGTGAACACAATGACCGGGCTCGGCATGAAAACATCGTAAAGCAGCTGCAAGAGCAACAAGATGCGGTTCGTCCTGTATTAGCCTTGAATCCATGTCTGTGTCATCTGACGAAGGAGAGAGAAGGTTGATGCATCTAGGCGTTGGCTGAAACTTGCATTCGCCAGATCATCCAGTGATACAGACGCAAATGCCGAGTTCGACCTTGTAGAAGGTTTAAACGTCTTCGTTAAATTCTACTGGCGACTTTATCTGGAAACAAGGGCAGCAGTTAAATCACTGACCGTCAATCAGTCTACGGCTAGGCATTACCTACGTGAGGAGCGTTCAAAGCGCCGCTTCGGTTATGACCTTCCCCAGAATGAGAATGCTCGTATGTCCCAACGCACCTTGCATACACAGGCTTCCCTTGCTCATACATGCGTGGCAGATGCTTCCACACTGCAACAGGCACATGCTAAACCTCACCACAGACCGGAGCAAAGGATAGAGGCCCGCACTCGTCCTCAGTTCCAGGATCCATATGATGCCGAGGCAGAGGAAGAACCCCTGCCGGAAGACGCCCACGACATTATTGGTGTAAACCCCTCTTTCAATGCGCTTTCCATCCCTCCTTTCTCTCAACCTGCTTCCGTCTCTCAACCAGAGGCAGAGCTAATTGTCTCAGCTGACTCTTCTACTGCCATTCCGGAGGAGGCTTCCCAACACTTACTCCAAGCCGTCCCGGTCCCTTTAGCGGCCTCGCCTGTTGGAGTGAATGGCAAGCGCAAGGCAGCCACCGAGCAACCTTCGTCCTCTGATACCGAAGGAGAAGCTTTTCCCCATCCGCCATCGACTCGAAAGAGCGTCGAACAAGAGACTGACGATCATGCAGATTCTTCACCCTTAACTGACCTATCGGACCTGAGCGATGGCCCAATGGACAAGGGGTGGAGTGAGTCAGCATCTTGGCGCCCACCACAGAGGACGGCTTCCAACCGAGAGGCCCTCAGGCAGACGGTGCAAAGGGAGACACAATATGAAGAACAACGTCGCCGCGGAAAGGTGGCGGATCCTCTTGAGGACTCGCTTGCGCACGCGCATAGCCAGAAAGCTTCCACGGTAAAGACTAAACGGAGGGTGAAATCGCGCCCGGGAAATCAGGCGGCCAGCGTTGCTCCGCCCTCTCTCAGCGCGCCCCCTGCAGTTACAATCCCCGCACAGGATATTGGCAAAGGTACAAGGGAGCAAGGGAAGCGTCCTAGGGGCCGCCCGCGTAAATTCGGCGCGGCCGTCAAGCAAGACGACAAGATACTCGCCTCCATGGCTCCAAAGCCTCGCCCTGCGCGTAAACAACACACGAACAAACTGAAACCCAGACGTTCGCAGAAGAAGGCCAACGATGGAGTTCTCAGCCGACCAGCGAAACAGCGGCGGGTAAACGAAAACCATCTTGCAGGGGACTTAGCTTTTATCATGTTAAGTACGGGCCAATCTCAGAGAATGTCCTCGCGGTTCCACAGTACAGAAGGTCTACCTATGGAAGGACAGGATGTCGACCGACTTGCAGCGGTAGGCACATCGCTATCGTCCTTGAAGTTTATCTGACCAATCGTGACAGCCTGCGGTGCCCTCTCCAACCGAGATCCCAACTGTAGGCGCACTTCTTTCATCACAGCGCTCGATGATGAATCGAAGCAAGGGGCGTAAACGCTCTCGTAATGCCTTTGAGAAAGCGGATGTGAAACAGGCGAACGCAAGCCAAACCTTATCAATGTCACAACGACTCACGATTGAACTGCCCAAGCGGACCAGCGTTAGCAGCCGTTCTGCGGGATCAGGCATTTCACAGCCCTCTGTTCCTCAAGTTGGGTTCAACATGGAAGACGTCGACAGGAACCTGCGGAATGCTGCGTTAGATGCATCGCTGATGATCCAAGCCTCGCACGAAGCGGCGGACGATCCTCTCAGCGATTTTGGAGACGATGACAGAGCAGAAGGTCAGGCTGAATTGCCAGATTCGAGCGACGACGAAACCCCTATACAACAACGTGTGCGATCTCGGAGCAGCGCGCAGCAGATTGTCGGCACTACGACCACAAATAATCACCTGGCGGCGCAACCTGCGCCTTCGACTCGTCGAAATGTGCCCGCATACGTACCGCCTCCCCCTCAAGATTTGAATAACAAGCCTCACTTACCGATGAGACCTCCGGTTTGGGCGCAGGTGAATCTGGTCTCGATGCCGACGTATGATAAGACTAATAAAAAACCGTTGTAGTCCCGTCAAGAGGTTTGTGAATCCTTCGACTGGTTCAGAAGTTATCAGAGCGGCGTCTACTTCGTGAGAGACATGGTTAAGGGGTACTTGCTCAGTGCCTTTTCGTCGAGGTGCGACCCTCGCCCCTGCAAAGGCCGTGTGCGTCTTCCTGAAACTGTGATATCAGCCGTGACCTGTTTGCCCACGACGGCCGCCTCATCATCTCTCATGGGTATGTACGCTTGATAAATTCGATGGCTTGAACTGATATTAAAAATGCAGAGGCGGAAAGGCAGAAAGCTTACACACAAAGCAGGGGAAAATACAGACTCTTGAGGCCGACGATCAGTTGGCCGGCGATAAGTCTGTGAGAGCTCTGTTAAACACTTACTCTGTTGGGCGCCCTGTGGTGCTTCTTATAGATGACAAGTATACCATGTTTCCGTACGACTTGGCTGGCGACGGGTATACGTACGTTGTGCTTGGTTTCTACAAAATCGTACATGCTTGGGGTATGTTGCAGCTGCATAACAGCCGGTCCGCGCAATTCATAGACTCTACAGCTGAGAAACAAGCGGCAACTAACTCTCGCGGGTACGTAGTCAGGTATAAATTCGCGTTCCAATGGTGCGAAGCGCAAGGAAAGCCGTGGTGGATCGATGCAGGACACTCCAGAGGTGCGTAGCTTGTGGCGTAAATGTTACACAGATCGACATAACCGCCATTTCCAGCGACGTCCCATTTCTTGACACCCGAACAGGCGGATCCATCGTTGATTCTAAGGGAAGAGAACCCTACTTCAGCCTCTACCCCTTGTCTGTCAGTTTCAACCTCTATTATATGCAACGACTCGATGCTGACACACTGAGCTGAACAGATACATGAATCAAAGTCAATGCTGTCAGCTGTGCAAGGCGACCTCGCCATTTGTCTACGCACAAGGTTGGATGTGTTTGAAACCAGGATGCAAAGCCTTCTGGAAGAATCCTGACCGGTCCTCACCTGCCGATGTTCTCGATTATGCCGAGAGCTTTCTGGAAATACTCCCCACCAGTCTGGAGCGGCTGGACGACATCCGTCCTCCCCTACCTATCATCAAATCCGCTGATGGGATCACAACAAGTCGTATATTTTGTAAAGGGTGGCATTGCGTTCAATGTGGGCGCATGTCCAGCAGGTGATTGTGTACGCTCCCTCAAATAGCCTCGATGCCACTGATATTTGATAGGTATAAATGGGAGCATTGGGAGTGTAAATGTTGTGGTGTGAGCTTTGGTAGCCACTTGGAGAGCGTTTTTTCGGCTGATGTAGATACAAGGCGCAACACAGAGTACAAGGGCGATTGCGAGACCCCAAGGAATTTTGGGGGCAGAAAGTTCCGGAGACCTTTATGAACGCGCGTGTTAGCTCAGATTCAGGTAGGCCGCAAGTCTGACTGGACATGCGACTCCGGCAAACGTATTCTAGGCATTATTCAGACTGCGGTACGGATGTATAAGAGTCATGACAGACACGGTGTCTTCTCTCAGTTCATTCTCCCGCAGAATATGTGAGTACCATGTTTTAGACTGTTACTTCGCTGAACGCATCATGATAGGGGGCGCATCATTCTCATTTCTGGGACAGTATTGATGAACAAAGAAGCGGATCAGATTTTCAAGGAGTATCAACAGCAAGCTGATAGCGGTGAACTTCTCTTCAGGCGCTGGCCTCTCAGAGCGGTTTGTTGTTTCTGCTCGACTCACACTGCCATTGAACATAATGGTTTCTCTTTTTGGTAGCACAAATGTGCGGAATCCCGAAATGCATGTTGTTGCAATACTACTGACACCCGCATTTAGGCCGAGGCACACTGTTAACCAATTACTTCTCTCAGAACTGTATGTCACTCCAGTATCTTCGAGTGCTCAGCAATATGTCTAAATTGCCCACGTTTCAGCTGGCGAACCATATCAGGTAGGAAAACGTTCAGACGTCATTGTTATTATTCACAGCTTGCTAGTATGTTGGGGGCACCGACAACACGGTTCCTTGGGACGCCGCACCTTCTGCGGTCTGTCGTGCTCTCGACTTGATCCAGCAGCGCATGAAAGATACTCTTAACATGCCATCGAGATTTAATGAGGTTCTAAGCGCGGCTTACATGGAGAAGCAGAAAATGGCGGTACGTTCCCTACAACGTTCATGAACAACGGAAGCTTTAAAGATGCGTTATTTCTAGTTTCACAGCGATAGTGAACGCGGCCTAGGCCCAACAGTTGCCTCGCTTTCTCTCGGATCGGCTGCGTACATGTATTTCCGCCCCCTAAGCAAATACAGTGGTGACAAAGGAAAAGGCTCTAGCAACATCGCCCTCACGTTGTACTTGCGCCATGTACGCAACGGTTTTTTTTGGATCTTGGCCCGGCTGACGGTGCACTAGGGCGATGTTTTGGTCATGGATGGCGAGGGTATTCAAAAATACTACGAGTGAGTGTGTCTTGACAGTTTTCTCAGCTGCATTCATAGCATTTCATTAGACATACTGTTGAGCCAATCAACTTCCGGATTGCCGCAACAGCTCGATCCATTGACAGTTGTAATCATTAACATTTTCTGTACAATTCAAAATCTCATCAGCCTGATCCATACCACATTATGTACTCATTATTCGTCCTTAGTAATGTCTTGTTTTCGCTGGCAGCTTTGCCAATGCTTTGCAAAGGCTCGCGAGCCATTATATCCTGTTTTCAGGAACCCAAGCTGTGAGTGGAAGGACAGTCGCACGACCAGCTGCTTTCCAAGACAACCCAGCAAGCGCGCTTCGCTCAGTAGCGTGCGCTGTTGCTGTATAACTGCGCTGTAATCATTTCGCTGCGTGCCAGGCGCCTAGAACTACTATATATCGGCTGAGGGGCGGATCAGATTGCAGTAATCCAAGGCTGATACTGCGCGAGTGCACGACGATGATGGCAATAACCTCTCGTTGACCGTCAGGCGCCTGTCCCTGTAAAGTGCCCTCTTTACTATTCAAATCCGCAGAGCACCCCGCGCCTGTCTTGTCTTCTCCGACGCCTTCCGAAGACACCCAACGATGGCTTCGCACACCATGCGCATCGCAACGCTGTGCCCTCCTCGTGTTCATGTGGTTTGAGAATCCTCGAACGTGGCTTGTGAGCGCGAATGCACAGCGGACTAGCGCCGAAACAGACAGGATACGACAGGTTCTTGGCTCGATCCCTGACTCGGATATACTAGTAGTATCTCTAGCATTTCATTAGAAGCCCAAGGCCTGCACTCACTCGATTGTGACCTTCATCTCTGGCTCCACTGAATGGTCACCAATTGAGGTCCCTTCATCGAGAAGTATGCCTTTCTCTCCACCTCCTGTGTTAGTTTCAACATCGATGTCCTTAATTCCACTGTCTGATCCAAGATGTGTGACAGCAGCGTGTTTAACATTTTTCAGCTGCATGGTCATCAACAACGCACGAGCTAATTCACGGGTGGCACTGCGTTGCCCCTGTAAATTTATCATCTGCAGTAGCAGCGATCTCGGGGCTGTGAGAACTTGAGGCCCAAGGTTTTGGACGAGCTCGCATAGTGGATCAGATTGGATAGGATAGTGATTGTACATACTTGCCCGTAGCTCATATCCCCACGCCTTTATACCCCTGCCACCACAGCGTGGCTACTAAGGTCTGTTCCTCGTCGACCGTCGCGTGTTTCTGAAACATATGTATGCTTCTCTGGAAATTTCAGACTCGCTGATGCTCATCTGTGGAAACAGGATACGCATGAGCTCTTGAGTGTGATGGATGTCGGGACGTACCCTATATGCTTGGGTGATTTTCTCGAGCCGTCGTCGATGCCAATGAGGGTAAAGAGTTTGACCTAAATGAAGCACCCGTTCACTCCGGAGGGAGTATATCCAGTTCGGGATCTTGGAACTTGCGAACTTAGTGATCGGTGATAGTCTGTCCTTGAGCCACTCGTCGTTGATATTCCATTTCAAAGATGCACCAGTATCCTCCATGGAGACGCCGGAATCGGATGAGATCAATGGCTGATGATCCACTGGGCGTACCTGGCTATCGGGCACGAAATTTGGATTCTCTTTGGAGGTGGCTGACCATTCGAACCATGCCATGATGAACTCAAATTCGTCTTCCGTGATATCAGACGCGCTCCTTGTCGTCCTCATCGCAGATCGTCGTTTGTTGCGACTGATCTCTGCATTCACACCGTGGAGCCATTCTTTGTCACATTCATCCATATAGTATACGCCACCGCCAAAGAATGCGAAAGAAATGCTTTGCTCAACGGTATCTGAGAATTCAAGGTATGTGTCGGGGTCGCTCCAGGGAGAAGTGTACATCTCTTCGTAATTCACAACGATTCCCTCGCAAGTAGGGATTGGAATTTGTGCGGTGGTATCTGTTCGTGTCGAGGTCTTTCCTACGGATTGTGCTGCCAGTGCGGCTTGTAGGTGAACTTGCTGTGACAGATGGCTGCGTCAGCGAATGGCCGCAAGCAATAGGCGATACCTTACATTCCTGTCACCGTCGTCTATACCAGCAGCAGGGTCATCGTCAATGCTGAATTCCTCCTCGTCCCGTTCGCTCTCTTCAAACGTGATCTTTTTTTCAATTCGAACCCGCTCGTTGGGCCTGATTGTGACTGCCTGCTTCTTGCGTGTGCGTCTGCTCCCGACGTTTGATACCATGATGGCTCGTGAGGAATGTTGGTCTGAGGTGACTGAATCACGAAGGGCCTTGGCTCAAATGTGGCGTTCGCTGAACTTTCACTCAGCCGCGGGTCAACAAAAGAGCATGTTACTCCGATTGTGAACAGGAAAAACGTTGTAAGACAATGCACTCTAGACTTATCGCGCGAAGAGAGTAATTGATAAGTTCGACATTGCTGTATTGTCATGGCTTTGTGCGAGTGGCAGGAACAAGGACGGAGCATGTTAGTAAGCGCCCGATATGGCCGAGTCTGTGATGCCTTCGGGCCATACCTGTACCACAACCGCTGCGTTCTAGCTCTGCGATGCTCTCCGCCACTTTCAGTTGCCGTAGTCTCGCCTGCATATCACTGGATTTTCAAGACCGGCCCATCGATCACGACCGTGTACTCGGGTCATACGTAACTCTAGTGGATGCATTTCATATGCCGGAGCATCTCGAGTCCATTAATACTAGAGGAATTCATGTCCACGTACCATGATCCCAAAATTTGCGGGGACTCGCAGAACGTTAGCAACCGAACACCTGCCGAATGGATGGTTCCGAGCCGACGAGCTCGCTGTGGTTACTTGAAGCAGGTTCCGTGGGTCTTGTCTCGTGGGGAGTTTATTGTCTGGCATGATTTAGTGCTGCCTTGCGAGGGAACCTGGAGTACTAGGCTTGGCGGAGCGAGCTTTCATGGCGGATGAGACGGGTTGCAAGCTCAGTGGGACCATGAGGTTCCTAATCGATGGTCATATCAACCGAAGCACGTCAATTAACCAATACACCATGTGCACACTGTGCACAGCTGCCCGTCCATCGTTTACTGAAACCCTGATCGGACATTTTTCACGCCGTACAGACATCCGCCGCTCTCTGTTATCTGTCGGACATTTCACGCCCACGAAGTCGGTGGCTAGTGAAATCGTAGCAAAGATGTCTATTTGTCACTCGGAACTGCTCTCATTTAGCAGCTCCTCGACACGCAAACGTTCACCACTCGGATTCATACATCGTGGAGATCAGTGTCAACCAAGCGCCGAGAATGATCTTGGCCGATCAATGTTCGCGGGCCCGTGTGTCTCTTATCCTCGCCAGGCGGCAACAACGACCTCAGCCCCCCCGATGGTACGCCATATTACTACAGGGAAGCAATTGATTTTCCTTTGTTTCGGTACCATACAACTATGAAAGTCGCCCTCATCAAGCAGTCCATATAGTAGTACGTCGAATCGTAACTCGTTCTGACCCAGACGTACGCTAGGTACCAACGACCGCACTTCTATGGTACACAGAATGACCCGCGTTTGAAACCCGCACTCTGCACCCCATGAGGACGGAGGATGGCTTCTTTGCTTGCGATTCATTGACCCGTAGCACATATAAGTCCACGGCTAGATCTATAAACGATGAAAACCAGTGTGTTTACCCTAGCTCAGTTTCAAAGGTACGTAACAATAACGTCTCATGGCCGAGGACGGACGTCGTGCCTTGAAACGATATTGACTTTTTATTACCAGTCACCGTATTCACCCTACGTGGCTTGAGAAAGGCTTAGCTGGTATACAGACCCGGAGCCTATGGCGATATGTCGTATTCTCCAGCTCAACATGTTGCTGATTGAACGATGACCCCTAGAGCTCTAAGAATCTAGGATGAAATGTCGAATTTCCAAAAGTAAGCTGACTTCTTTCCATAACTCATGAATGCCTTCTGAAAGAACCTAGACTGACGTGCTTCGTATCAGATTCCGCTACCGCGCCTTAATATGTAGCTTGCGAAGTTAGTAGGCTTCCGCCGCGTAGTCGTATAAAACAGTGGCATCCACAATCTCATAGGAGACTCAGGCTCAATGCGAGCCGTTTTCCTGGTTGTACGAACAAAGTGACCTCAGCTGTAAACGATGTTCACCACGTGAGTCAGTTCATTGTCCATGGGTGACAAGCTCACCATCCAGCAGTAGCGAGGCGCAGACAGGCGAACACGTAACATGGCTGATGGGCATTCCGGCTTCACAGCATGCCGTGTATAACACCATCAGGTACGTTTCTCCCTAAACAGAGGACCTTGACTTGCTGATGCGGCCCTCGTAGACTTCATTATACCGGTCATAGCTATTCACATCAAGTCGTGCAGCAACAAGCTCCACCGCAGGCTTCCAGCATAGAATCCTGTCACAAAGATAATATCATATCTGGATGGAGTCCTCTCACCCCGCCTCCCATTGCCCCGCGCATCGGTGCCCATGTTACCCAATTTGTCCCAATCGATCTTGCTGAGTGTCGCTGGAGTAGCTCTCCCTGTGGTATGGCCTTACAGGATCTATCCCCTGGTGGCATTACGCGACATCTCAAGGAGCATCATTTCGATGACGTTGTCAACCTCTGGCACGATAGGAAGCGTGGAGGTTGCCAGTGGTCGGCAGTCGGTCAGCCCTGCTGCATTGAACTGTACTACGGTGGCTTTGGCAAGCATGTCGCCTCAGTACACCTGAAGAGCATCTCTTGCAAGTGCCCGGCATGTGGACAAGAGTGTTGCAGGGTAGACGCGCTCAGGAGACACCAACGGGAGGTATGCGTTGGGCGGGCTCCCACGGACCCTTGGACAGGCTGAGTCATAAGCAAGTCATTTGGATTATCGTTTCAACCTTACGAGTTACGTGAACTGATACAATGCTGCCAGACCACCCTCGCTGATAGCCAATGCCGTTCGGAGATTACACATGCATCGTGTCTAGCGTTCTGGACGTCTCAACACGCCCCCCATTCTGCCCTTGTTGTGTCTCTCCGTTTGGTGACTTGATCTGAAAGGCTTCCTTACGACGTGTTTGATGGGAATTATCACGGTCGCAGATACGCCCTGGGGTGTGTGTACGGCCCTGCTAGCTTCTGGCAATGACAAAGAACACTTTCGTTTCCGAGAGCGGCTGGGGACGATCTGGAATATCATGCTGCGCAATTTGCGGCCAGATACACGCCTGATCCATATGCCATCGGTTGGCGTGATCAAGACACAGAAGCCTGGATATCCTGCTGATAGAGGGGCGGCTTGTACGACAGAAGCTGTTCACAAGCAAAGGTTTGCTTGTCCTGCCTCATCACAGCCGTGCCAGTGGACGTCGAGTGCCTCGGAGTCATACCATGTTCTGCGCCCAGCGGGATTCTGAATGTGAAATGTTCGCTTTTTTTTGTCCCCGAAAAGCGCCGCCCCTTGCACTGCTTCACATACAACTAACATAATACCTCGAAAGGGATATGCTCATGACATGTAAAACAATGAGCTGAGCGTCTGATCGGACCATACTATTGAGATTCACAGTTACAAGGAGCCGTCACGTCTTATATCTGTCTGCTCCTGCCCGCTTGAAGCCACCCCGCTATGCGCGCATCATGCACGATAAGGCTGTTCAGTAGAACCTAGCTGTATGCCTGCGGAACTGCACGCGTGATTTGGCCGGTTATTCAGCAAGACAAAGACTGGGTGCACCATGGGTATTGCGGGTGGTACACTAGCTGCAGTGTTAAAGAGCGCTATAGTCTGCGTGGATATCCACAAAGACGAGCTACGCGCAGAGGCCATCATCACAAAGGTATTTTACAGAGATATGTTAATCAATATTGACTCTCAATCTTATCGTTGACCTTGCACTTGACATGCCAGAGAGCAGAGAGGCCACGTTGAATCACTGAAGTCTTGGACATGCCCCCCGTGAAGGTTGCATCGCAGTGTGCGCATGAGAATCCAGTATACCCATTCTGTCGCAAGGAGAATACAAAGGGCCACGATACAAATCGAAGAAGATGAAGCAGTCCACATGTGTATGAGTTTTGTATTTCTGATCGTCGCTGTCCATCCGTGAGGACACCACCGCCCCAGGCCGATCGTCGAACCCAAGGCGGTGACACAGTCTCGCTTTGCGCCAATGAAGTTTCCCCCACAGGCCCTCCAATCCCGAGCGACCGTGACAACTCGAGCCGAAGGTGTTGGCCGTCGCATGTAACTGCACACCGAGGCGACCTCCCCGCCGCGCAGTGGTCTTGCTGTTCCGCCAGTGGAGTTTCCTCCATAGGCCCCGAAGGCCCGGACAACCACTCCGGACCCCAGGTGTTGGCCGTCGCATGGGACCACGCACCGAGCCGACCGACCCGGCACGCAGTAGTCTCGCCGTTTTGCCAAAGAGCTTTCGCTCAGAGGCCCCACAGACCCGGGCGACCACGCCGGGGTGCAGGTCTTGGCCGTCGCATGTGACCGCGCAGAGAGGCGACCTCCCCATCGCACGGTGGTCTCGCTGTTTCGCCAGAGAGCTTTCGTTCAAAGGCCCCGCAGACCCGGGCAACCACGCCGGGGTGCAGGTGTTGGCCGTAGCTTCGCGCCCGAGGGCGACTTGCCGCGCATCCGAGGCGACCTCCAAGGCGCGCGGTGGTC